GTGATGTTCTATATGTTCACAGAGGGCTGGATTATACAGGTGTATGCATGTGTCCAAACTCAGCAAATGAAGATTTGTTACACTTTATGTGAATTTTAAGTCCAAAGAAAAAACTAAACAAATCTTGAACTGCAGTTAATGACATGCATGCTGAAGTATTTAGGGGGCACTACATGGAGGCTGGCACCAAAAAAATAAGACAGACATGTGATAAGGCAGGCGCAGTAAAATATTAATGGTAGAACGCAGAGGGTGGGAACAGGAGCATTCACTGTAAAATTCTTTCAACGGATGCTGTATTTTTATAAAATTTCCATAATATCATGCTGTCGGGGAAAAAAAGGGAGCAGCCACCATCTTCTGTCATCTTCCAGAAAGTTCTGTGTCCATCTCCACCTGGTCCAGGCCCAGCACCTCCTTGGCTTCCCCACAGTCAACAGGTGCCTGAGCAGCCGCCCTTCCAGCTCTCACATGCACACAAACCCTTCCTCTCCATCCTCTCCCCCAGGCCCACCTAGGTGAACTCACGACAATCTGTCTCTGGTACCTTTAGGAGTCAAAACTGTAACGAGGGGTGAGGAGATAAAATAGTGCTTCAAGAGCTCTAAACACACCCATCGTTCTGTCAGGAACAAACTGTAAGCAGAACTCGTTTTGTTCTCCCCTTAATTACTATTTTATTTTTGCTAAAAATCAACAGTATTTCAACATTCACATCATCTCTTAAAAAATGTTTACAGAGTTTTCTGACTTTACAAGTGCATTTTCTAAAGCTGATTTTAACAGCTGCATTTCATAACAGATGAAAACGATAAAGGAAGAAAAAAGACTCTTACTGATCTGTATTATTAAGTGCCTACTTTCAGATATGTGTGTACATGTGTTTATATGTGCACTCACACCTCTTTTTAAAAATAGTTGATATACAACTCTGGGCTTTTCTCCCTACTTCTGTGCATTTCCCCATACCATTCTTTTTAGAAAACACCATTTTTATTGGTTTTGAATCAATCCATTGGCAGGGTAAGCCCGCATCTAGTTAACATTTCTCTATTGTTGGACCTTTGAGTTTTACCTAATTTATCATCTATCATAGAACCTTAATTGGACATTTGGGTTTTATCTAATTTATCATTTATCACATAACCTTAATCATAGAACCTAGGATGTAATTTAATACAATATTCCCCCACATGAAGGCATTTTTTTCTGTAAAATCTTTATCAAAAAGTCAGCTGGTCTTGGGTGCCTGGGTGGCTCAGTCATTGGGCATCTGCCTTCGGCTCAGGTCATGACCCCAGGGTCCTGGGATCGAGTCCCATATCGGGCTCCCTGCTCCGCGGGAAGCCTGCTTCTCCCTCTTCCACTCCCCCTGCTTGTGTTCCTGCTCTTGTGCTCTCTCTCTCTCTCTGTCAAATAAATAAATAAAATCTTAAAAAAAAAAAAAAAGTCAGCAGGTCTTACCTGAATAATTCCAGGAGGGAACCCCACTTTGGAGGTTCAGTGAATGACACCATATGGACACTTAATTTAAATGAATTTAGCTACAGGAAAAGGGAAGGGATGGGAAAGGGGGGGAAAAAAAGAAAGAGGGACAGGGTATGGGAAAAGAATATATTTAAATCGAACACACACTTCTGCCCTGAATCCACTCAGCGGCCCTAAGCCCCAGAGTGAGCTGGGCAATAATAAATTTGCCTTTCCTTCAGTGACTTCAATTCACACACGCTCTCATGGTGGCAGTCTACCTGGGTCCAAATTCCAACCCCATCATTTACTAACTAGGTGACCCTGAACAAGTTATTTAAAACAAAACCCCAAAACCTGTCTGTGCCTCAGTTTCCTCATCTGTGAAATGGGGATAATAATGGTACCCATGTCAGAGAATAGCAGGGATGATCAAAAAGTTTATATATTTCAAGTCTTTAGCCATACAGTAAGCACTAGATAAGTTAAAGTTATTACTATTTTATAAGACTTGGCTCCTAAACATAAGGCAACTATTTCATCTGGTATATAGTTAAAGAAACAATCCACTCCATAAATGGAGAAAAAATGGAGCTGAACTTCACTGAAAGCTAGTATATTAGCCCTAAGGAATTTTCCAAAGGTAGTTTTGACTCTTACCCGCGAACTCTAAGCCCTGCTCACCACAATACACAAACGCATACCAGGTCACTGCTGGGAGGCTCACACTACTAGAAAATTTGCTTTGATACTGAGTCAAATCTCCTTTCTGCCTTCAACTTCCACCCGTTGATCCTGGTTCTGCCTTCCCGAGTTACACAGAACATTGCCAATCTACCTTCCAAAAGATGGTCCATTGAAGCTTCAATGACTCTGACCATATTGCTGTCCGAGGCCCATACCCACAAGGCCTCATCTGGTCCTCACAGGATGGTGCCAGCCGAGTCCTCTCAACGCTCCTGCTTTGTCAGTGCCTCGGTGAAGTGTGAAAATTCACGACCTGACAAAACACGCCCTGTCCTCTGACCAACTCACAGTGCCATGGGATCAATACTTCCCTAGATCTGGACACTGACAGCGGTACAGCTATTAATCCGGGTAAGACTTAGCTCACCTAAGCTTCAGGAATCTACTGGGAAATCACACCAATGCCCCAAGCCCTTCCAATAGCATCTTCACAATTTAGATTAGTAAACTTCTCTCATTACTCTCCTCCTAAGGTCTGGGCCTCTCATTAGCAGAGATTTAAGAGCCAGTCTTTGTAAGTATTTTTCCTTTTTCATCTATTAATAAGTAATAACCCTTTATCTGTGCAAACTAACGTCTAATTTCTATCGATGATGTCTGATATCTGAGCGTGCGGCATAGCAGGAGTTAACAAATGAAGAAACAGAGGCTCAGACAGGGCTAGTGACTCATGGGGGATTACATTATCAGTCAGTGGCCAAGTGAAAATGCGAACCAGGGTCCTCCGTTTCCCAATGTAGAAAACATCCTAGCACACAACTGAGCTCATCTTTATTTGTGGACAGGAAAAGAATATTTGAGGTTAGAGGAACACAGGTTCCCCAAGAAAGCTGCTTCCTGGCAGCATGACCTTGAGAGGCTACTTACCCTCTCTGAGGTTCCTTTTCCTCGTTCATAAAATAAGAGTATGGTTCTCCTCACTAGCTGTGAGGATCACACAGGCTAACAAGCACGGGGCTCAGTCAGTGCCTGCTGGCCTCCCCATCTTTTCCTGGGTCCTACCACGTCTGTGGCACCACACCGCGGGGCCATGGGGAACTGAACAAGACTTTAAGGAGTATTAAAATTATTAAAAAATGTATGAAAACGTGTTGATAGTCATTTACTCTCAGCCATAAGGTTTTAGGAGATAGCATGTAGATATAAACATGCACTGAAAAATCACAGATATAAACACATCATAAAAGAAATCTTAGTTGGAACTGCCTATGTGGTGAGGTATAATGTCGTGATGAATGATAATTAAAATCTGGAGGCACAGCAATGTAATGGAAACCAAAATTTATTTTAAAAAGTAATTAGCCTATGAAGAATGATAATGGTCCCCTCTTGGCTTTACATTCCAATATTCTCTACCTTCCATTTTCATTACCTGTAAGCTGTCTGGGAAGAGAGATGGTGTATTACTGTTCTTTGTGTTCCCAGCAGTGTCTTACAAACTACTCAGTGCCTAAGGGATTTAATAAGTACTTAAATATTTTTGATTGACAGGGTAGAGGAGAAAAGTTTAATAAACTAATTACCGAAGTGAATACCATCATCTCTTTTTTATCTGGTGACGTATGCTGGAAGCATTTTGAAAAAGTCATTACCACTTAATGTCACTTTTTAAAATGGCTTACTTGGGGGAGAGATGAATAAAAAGCCTTCGTGACTTTTTAAAATGGCATACAGATCAGACCAAATGGTTTCTGGATAGTTTGTCACAATTACTTGTTTCAAGGTATTTTTTAGATTCATTCATTCAACAAGTATTTACTAAAAACCTGCTACGCCCGGCACAATGCCAGGCACCACAAATAAATGAGACTTCTCAGACCTGAATCCTGACTTCAAGGTTTGAACTTTCACTTCAGAGTGTGAGATAAGACACATGCCTCCACAGCTCAGCGATGGAGGACACCCACCGGAATCCAGAAGAGGGGGGCGGGGGCAGACAGAGACCGCGCAGAGAGGGTTCGGGGGAGAAGGAAGTTACTTCCCACCAGTGAAAATCAGGAAAGACATCGTGACGGGTACCTTGCTATGTCTCCTCGGTAGAGAGACTTATACTCCCAGTTGGCCGGATCCGGTTTCTTATCTGTTCTGAAGGTTTCTCCAGTCAGAGCCTGAACGTCCTCAAGCCAAACAAAGCGATGCCCAATATCAGCGGCAGCATTACCTTCTTGACTGTGGGACACAGGAAGGTGAAGAACAAAGAGGGAGAGGCACTTTGAAATCTTCTGGCTACATCGTCCACCTTTTCAGAACAATGAAAGTTGAACATTTCAACACTGATGCTCCACACAGCATCAAACACACCCAAGTATGTCAAATGTGCACGGGCCACAGACGAAGAGGATTCCTGCTGTGGAAAAAGCTTTAAAATATGAAGCCAAAACTGTCCACCCTAAGTGACACTTTACCAAGAAATCACCTTATCTCAGAAATTAACCTGACACAAGTTTTTATTTTTTTAAAGATTTACTTATTTATGTTTATTAGAGACAGGCAGGGGGGACAGAGAGAGAGAGAGATAGCACACGGGGAGGGGCAGAGGGAGAGGGACAAGGAGAGAAGCCGACACCCCGCTGAGCACAGAGCCCAGAGCTCCATCCCATGACCCTGAGATCATGACCTGAGCTGAAACGAAGAGTCGGATTTGCTTAAGCGACTGAGCCACCCAGGCGTCCACAGGTGTTCTTTTTAAATATTCTATTAAATGACTGTAACTAGAATTTCAAATATATTTATAAACAAGTTTCCTCTAAAAATAAATAAAGTGGGTTGCCCTTGCTTAGCCTAACTCAGTAGAAAGTGCTCAGATTATTCCAACTCAAAACTTAACAACAGCAACATGACAGTTCCGAATGGGTCAGTCTCACATATTATTCAGACTTGGTCTAAGTCTCGTTTTTATAGCCCGGGCGCTGTGGACTGACCTTCTCTCTTACACCAAGGCCGGAGAGAGCCACTGCGAGACCAGACCCTTACTTATCCCTCTGAACCAACCTGAGAGTTGGCAGACTTCCAGCTGAGACACAAATGGAACCACTTCCCTAGGAGTCAAACGAGAGGGGGAGGTAAAGTTTTTTGGCATCTAACATCTTCCCTCCTCTAAAGAAAATCAGTTCATCATGCTGCTGACACAAGAAGCTGCCAAAGTAGTCAAAACAGCCCTTAACCTTGTTCCATCTTTGCTTTTGACTCCGCCCAGATAGAAATAAAGATTCTAACGGCTTCTAAATCATCCCTGACTGGGAATACAGAGGAATGGCATTCCGGGGACACAAAGTAGCTTTCAATCAAGTGTTTGCTGAATAGGTTAAAAGACACGGTGATTTTTAACACATTCCCCCTCAGAACATCTATGGAAGGTTTTCTATTGACAAACACCATAAGGGGCAGCAAAAGGAAGGAATGAGATGGATGCATTCCAGAAAGAAATGGAAAGCCCACGGGGGAGGGAGGAGGAAGCAGACCACACCTGGGGAATAAACGAGCTCTGATCCTCTCCTGTTGGGTACTGAGGTCAGGAAGCAGGATGTGGTCTGGGCTGTGCACAAGGGAGGATCTGCCTCCACCTGAAGGTGAAGAGCTCACCCCAGGAGACAGAGGTCCCTGAAAAGCTGTAGCCTTAGGGGAAGTCGTCCCTCGATCACTCAAAAATAGAGTTCCTATATGGTGCATTATATCCCCGAGAACCCACTTTCCCGACATTACAGAAGTCTCACAACTCAATAATGCCTTAGTCCTTGTCTCTATGGAAACAATTCCTCCAGGTCATCTTCCCCGGAAGAGACTACAGAAGTTCACAGGAAGAAAGTAAAAGAGAAGAACAAAAAGAGTGGATTTTGATCTTAATGGGGATATTCTGAAAAATATCAATGAACTTAAAAATGCTATCTGGATCACAGAACCATCAAGAGGCTCTAAAGTTCACCTCTGATGTGATTACGCATAGGCTGAAAATAACTACCTTCCAAGTTCTAATGGTAGTTCCTGTGTAGGTTCAGAAAATCCTTTAAAACTCATTTTCCTCAACTTTAAAAAAAAATGGACAAGTAGCTAAGAGTGAGTTTCCAGAAGAAGCAATGATTAATGTATGGTGCTTTGAAGACACACCGAAAAGCAAAAATACCAATAATGTATTCATTCATTCACACAACAGAAATGTACTGAGCGCTTACTGTGCATCGGGCCCTGTGGCAATCACTGAGGGGTTACAAGGGCAAGCGAGACAGGAGTGATTCCTGCCCACATAAACTCGGCCCAAGTCAGAACCTTTTTATTCTCCCCTCCTAGAGCAAGCCTGGGTTACAGATGGAGAACCTGAGGCACAGAGACAGCAGATTCAACCTGGACGCCCCGAGCCACAGCGGCCTGCGAGGCTCTCCACAGATCTGGTGGCAGAAGGATGCAGGAGGACTCAGGGTCCACCTGTCTGATGGAGACCCCATGGGTCAGATTCCAGACTCACTGCACCACAGAGCTCTCACGGATGTCAGTGGGACGTCTAAGCATACGACAAAAGCAAATAATGCCTGAAGAGTCAAAAAAAAAAAAATCCTAATAGCCCTAAATTTTTTAAGTATGCCTTGCATGGGGACTTCAACCTTCTCTTCTGGCCCATACGAACAAAGAAAAGAAAAAAGTGAGGGGCGCCTGGGTGGCTCAGTTGGTTAAGCGACTGCCTTCGGCTCAGGTCATGATCCTGGAGTCCCGGGATCGAGTCCCACGTCGGGCTCCCTGCTCAGCGGGGAGTCTGCTTCTCCCTCTGACCCTCTCCCCCCATGCTCTCTCTCTCTCTCTCAAATAAATAAATAAAATATTTTTTAAAAAAAGTTTTAAAAAAGAAAAAAAAGTGACATGAGAAACGACTCAGGTAGTTCCAGCACGTGCCGCCTGTCGTAGGCCTGGGAGAAGGGCCCCCCGCGGGGGAGCAGAGGAGACGAGGCAGAGGAGGGGCTACCAGCGAGCGAACGATGGGAGCAACAGGCTCAAGGGAGACAGCGGAGCAAAATGTGGGGAGAAGCAAAGCCCCCAGGAAAGGAAATACTATGTTCATGGGCCAGTCTACAACTTCCACACCGTGCTGGAAAGAAATGTGAGGTAAGAAATGATGACTGTAAGTGCTATACCGCCCTTAACCAAAGAGTGTGTGCCCAGCGGAGGGGGGGTGTCAGGGGGGCGGCTGATGCGAGCGATGGGAAGGGAGAGAGACTATGGAAGAGAAGTAAGACATTCCTCTTGCTCTGACCCTCACAGACGGGACCCTTAACTATGTAGTAAACTGGCCCATATTCCCATGGCATGGCACATCGGCCATCTTTCAAAATCCCAAAGACTTTTTGTCTGAATCAGATTCTGACACAATCATTACCGTGTCTAAATAACACTTCTCAAATAAAATCACGGCCCTAATTTTTTTTATGAGTTTTCTTCTTTTTTTTTTTTTTAATGTTGACCTAATGGTAGAGCTCTATTTGGGTTTGTTTTTTTTTTTTGGACTCCATTTGACTGAGTGGCTACAGAGTCATTCAGATACCTCATTTGTGGCAACAACTGAGGGAAAAAAATTCAAAATTTGAAAAGTCATAGGTATTTGAGAATAGAAAACCCACCTTGGTTTCTCTGATTCCTTTCTACTGTCTCCAGTGCTTCTGGAAGTTTTGTCCTCTTCAGGCTCACTATCTGGCTCGGAGCCACTGCTACTGGCCTGCCCACGTTTTCTCTTGGTTTTCTTGTGGTGATGTTTCCTCTTCTTCTTTTTCTCTTTCTTCTTTTTTCTGCTTGTTTGTTTGGGCTTTCTGTTAGCATCACTTTCATCCGAAGGCTCTGATTTCAGAGGACTCCTGTTTTGGGAAAATCAACATTAGAATTATTTTCAGATGAGAAGTACGGAGAAGACTGTGAAAATAAGCAAACAAATGTATTAAAGGGAACTCCAGAAATGCCCACAGGGCCTTACTATTTGCCCATATATTTATACAGTACCTTCCCAGATCACAACTCCCCTTAAGGATTTAAGAACTGGACCCACTACCCAGAAAAGAAAAGAAAAAAAAAAAAAAGTTGGACCTAAAACAACAGTAGGTGAAGAAATTCTATTGTAATAGCTTCTAAATCTAGACTTTCACATCTGCACATTTTTAAATGAAAATAATCTACCAGTTATTTTATCAAATATAGTATTTTTTTTAAGATTTTATTTATTCATTCATGAGAGACAGAGAGAGAGAGAGAGAGAGAGGCAGAGGGAGAAGCAGGCCCCCAAGGAGCAGGGAGCCCGATGCAGGACTCGATCCCAGGACCCTGGGATCATGACCTGAGCCGAAGGCAGACGCTTAACCATCTGAGCCACCCAGGCGCCCTCAAATATAGTATTTTCTGAAGCAACGTTATAAAGGGTTTATTTTCAGTCCTACATATTAGGGCAGCATGTCCTTAATGACAAAAAAAATAAAAAAAAAAAAAGGTTTAATTCTGGTCCTTGTTTTTAAAGGTTATGATGAGCCCTACTACATTACTGAAATATCTACAGACAACTCTCTCTCAGGCACCAACCAGTGTCCATTTCCAAAGGTTTCCTGCACTTTCGGAGGACTGCCTTCTCAGGGCTCCTCATCTTAATGAGACCACCTAGTCCATAAACTCGAGAGGGCTCACTTCTCAGTTTGATGCTCTACCACAATTTCTTTCAAAGCTTGGTAAAGATGTGCGCCATTCTGCTGTCCTCAAAGTTTTCATGAGATTTTATCCGATGTTATATCACATCAGCTTCTGTTTTTCCAAAAATGGTGAAAATGCAACTGAGGGAACATGAGAGTTATAATATTCTAAAGGTTACTAATGAGGTTAGTCAAGTTACTCGGCAATCACATGGTGCCATTTGCCTCGTGGCCTCGTAACTGGCACTGTGTTACACACTTGCCACTACAAAACACAAAGGGGGAAAAGAGGAATAATCTATGAGTGAGGTAAGGGAAAACAAAGAGCACCTCACTAGTGTGAGTAGAAAGAAGAGTTGTAATTCGCTCTTTTATCACAGGGTTTTCTAAGGAGCACTATTCGAACCCAACGATAGACAACACACAGACAAAAACTAAAAATCCATCTTTCAGAAAAGCTACCTCGTCAGCGGTGACCCTTCAGAAACCAGAGCAGCAGCCTCTTCAGGTTGTTGGCTCAGAGAGGTTATGGCTCCAACGCAAAAGCTCGGGTTGCTCAGCCAATCTAATTCTGCACAAGCAAAGGGGGAAAAAAATCAACAAAATCAGCTCAACGTGATTTCAAAAGCAGGAAATCCATCTTACCAGCTGACATCCTAATTCACAGCCAGTGTCAGCCAGAGAGTCCAAAGAAGCCGAAGGGAATCCATGAAATTTTTATTTCATAGGGCATGGGGCTTTCACACACTCTAAAATACTTAAGACTGAAATCCTCTTGTGCAATCAGACTGGAGCTTAAGCAAAAGCCACGCAACAAGTGTGGCTTAAAAAGCAACACGGCTTCACGATTCCATCACACTCTAAGGGGCAGGAATTGTTTCCAAAGCACTAGGATTGAATGACCTCAAGTTTGACGCAGACAATTCCGAAAAACTTAAAAATCAAATCATGCACAAAAGCCCGCCATGTTTAATATCGTTACAAAAGATTAAGACATTTTTCTTCAAAAAATATTCCGTTCTCAGTAACTTAACATAAGCCTTTCCTTACAGCAGTACTCTTCTTTGAAAATAAAAACATGGGGTGTCAACTTTAACACTAAAATGACATAAAATGTTAATAATGATTATCTCTGGGTGGTGAGATTAAATGTTCAAAATTGTTCCTCCTTCTGCTTATCCACTAATTTCTAATTCCTCTGGAATGAACTTTTTCTAAATTACTTATTTCCTAACCTTTTAGGAGTCTTAACTGTGAAGGAAAGGAAAGAGCCATGGGATGATGGACGGTGGTTAGAGGTTGTCCTCTTTTGTTCTAGGATGAGGCTAGAGCACCTGTGACATGGATGAAGTTAGGAGACAGAAGTGTAACTGCATTTTTTTAAGATTTTATTTATTCATTTGAGACACAGAGATAGAAAGCATGAGCAGGGGGAGAGGGAGAGGGAGTAGCACGCTCCCCGCTAAGCCAGGAGCCCGACGTGGGGCTCGATCCCAGGACCCTGGGATCATGACCTGAGCCGAAGGCAGACGTTTAACCATCTGAGCCACCCAGGCACTCCGTGCACTTCTTAACAGTCATACAGGGATATAATCCAAAAACCATAGGGTTCAGCCATTTAAAATGTACAACCCATGGTTTTTAGTATATTTAGAATTGTACAGAGCGCCTGGCTGGCTGTGGAGTATGGAGTCAGTGGAGTATGCGACTCTTGATCACGGAGTCATGAGTTCAAGCCCCATGTTGGGCACATAATTTACTTAAAAAAAAAAAAAAAACAGAATTGTGCAACTATCACTGTAAAATAATTTGAGCATTTTCATAATCCCAAAAAGAAACCCCATAGAGAGGTGCCTGGGTGGCTCAGTCGTTTAGCATCTGCCTTCAGCTCAGGTCATGATCCCAGGATCCTGGGATCGAGCCCCGTATTCAGCTCCTTGCTCAGCGGGAAGCCTGCTTCTCCCTCTCCCACTCCCCCTGCTTGTGTTCCCTCTCTCACTGTCTCTGTCAAATAAATAAATAAAATCTTATTAAAAAGAAAAAAAGATAGAAACCCCAAAGCTATTAGCAGTTACCTTCACTCATCTCTGGCTCTTCCACCCCAGGCAACCACTAATCTGTCTCTACAGATTTGCCTGTTTGGGACACTGAATATAAATGAGGTCATACAATACAGTCTTTTGTAACTGGCTTCTTTTATTCGGCATAACGTGTCCAAGGTTCATCCATGCTGTAGCACGTATTCATGCTCCATTCCTTTTTATTGCCAAATAATTTTGCATTTTATGGATATCCCACATTTTGTCCATCCATTGGCTGATGGACACCTGGACGTCATTTTGGTTATTATGAACAATGCTCTGTGAATATTCATGTATAAGTTTTTATATGGACATATGTTTTCACCGCTCTTGGCTAGATATCCAGGAGAAACGTTGGGTCATGTGGTAACTCACATTTAGCATTTTAAGGAAAGGCCAGACTGTTTTTTCCAAATTGGCTGCACCACTTTACATTCCCAGTAACTGTATATGGATTCTCTGATTTCTCCAAATCTGATTTCTACTGTCTGTGTTTTAGATTATAGTTATCCTACTGGGTGTGATGTCTCTCCTCATTGTGCTTTTCCATTTCCCTGGTGACTAATGATGCGAAGCATCTTTTCATGTGTTTATTGGCCATTCATATTTGAACAGTAATAGTCAAATCCCTTGCCCATTTTTTAATTGGGTTGCCTTTTTAGTCTTGTGCTGGAAGAGGGCTTTATATGTTCTGTCTTCTAGTCCCTGATGATTACTGCATCTTAGTGAGGAGTAGATGCTGAAATGTGTGCTTCTTGGTGACAGGTACTTTGTTTGACTCACTGTTGTATCCGTTAGCAATGCCTGGCAGTGCGTCAGGAGGAGCTTAATAAATATTTGTGGAAAAGAGGGGAGGGAGGGAGGAAAGGTACATTAAAAGAAAAAAGAGGGGTGCCTGGGTGGCTCAGTCAGTTGAGTGTCCAACTCCTCGATTTTGGCTCAGGTCTTGATCTCGGAGTCATGGGATGGAGCCCAACGCTCAGCAGGGAATCTCCTTGAGATTCTCTCTCCCTGTCCCCCGCCCCTCCCCCCAGCCCCCACCTCACTCGAGAGCACATGCAGCACACACACATACACACGTGCTTTCTCTAATAAATAAATAAAATCTTTAAAAAAAGGGGGGGGAGGAAGAGAGGGATCCTACCTCATTAAGTACCTACTGCAGGCCAAACACCAGGTAAAGCACTTTATATCCTTACCCCTTTTAAGCACCAAAACAACCCACTATGGCAGGTATTATCATCTCCACTGTATAGAAGAGGAGACTGAGGCTCAAAGAAATTAAATAATTTGTAAGGTCATACCCAGTGAGTGCTAAACAATCGTCCAGGCAATCTTTCTTCTATTGTCTTTTTCTTTCTGAGATTGGTTCCCTTTCCTTGGGTCTAATTCTTGGCAAGAGGTATGTGAAAATAGTTCCTGTTGCTCAGAGATCATGATTATTTCCACAAAAATTGGATTTTCTCATGAACAAAGGAAAAGTGAGAAAAGATGGAACAATATGCAAGGAAAGATGCTCTCAAACGATTCCGGTATATCTTTCCATAAATATTCCAGACAGTGAGGACAGCTTGGAGAAAATGTAAAGAAACGCAGATGTCAAAACAACAGAAAGTGTTGTTTTGTGAAGGACTCTGTCCTTCACAAAGTACAAGAAAAAGGGCTTTTAAGGGAGCAATTACGACTTTGCCATATGAGACTACTGTGGAAAAAGAGTAGTGTATACAGAACTAAAACTCTTGGGGTTCTAACCCAAATCATCACTGACCTTCTCAATGACCTTCATCTCAATCAAATGACCTTTTGTCAGAGCAAAGGGTATTTGCACCTGACAAGAAGTTACCACTGCTTTTTTTTCCTGGTAGCGCATGAGCAGTGAACATGAAACGTTAGAAGTAATCACCACTGGATGTCAGGCATGCAGGAATTTTGGAAATCATCTAGTCTAGAGATTTCTAAACTCTTTTTAGCCAAAGAAAACACTGCTCAAACAAAATGTTTCAGAGAAGCCCAACATGCAGAACAGCAGAAGTAGGGATCCTCCTAGGGGTCTGGAGGGAGGGAGCAGTTCTGAGAAGGCTCTCCAGGGCAGAGCTGGGATACCACCTCCTCATCTAGGGATCAAAAGCAGGAGGCCCAAAGAAGTTCAGTCACGGCTGTGGGCACACACGTGAAACTGGATCTGCGCTCCTCCATCTGGTCTCTCCACCACACCATGGTGCTACCCTTCATTCCCTCAACTAAGGCTCTGGTTTTCCTGAAATCTCCCTGCAACTGGTACATGGGGCTAGTGTGGCAATTTTCACATTACAATCTCATTATTTGCATGGCAGTCTTCCTACTTTATTCTAAGGCAAAGGTCAACAACTCAAATTCTTACAAGGGCCAGATTAGTAATTCCTCTGACACTGTAGGGAGAATGGGGGGGGGGGGAAGACAAAATATTTTGCCAGCCAAACAAATACAGCAAATTGGTTTACAATTCTTGCATCCAAGTTTCCAGCTCACCTACCCTGCTCCTATTCCTTTCTTTCTAAACTAAATGCAACAGGAGGGGAGAGGTTATGACTACTCGCTCCTGTATTCCCAATCCCTAGCACATAAAATGACTGAGGATCTGAGCCGTATCTTCATATTTTTGTATCCCCAGCACCTAATTTACTGAACTGAAAGACCCTGAGATCATCAAAAGCATGCCAATATCTAGGTATAAAGTACAACTATTTTAATTCTTCACTGTAAATGGAGATTTGGCCATTAAAGAATAAAGTACTGATTAGCTACTATGTGCCCAGGCACATCCCAGGCTTTGGGGGTACAGTGTGAATAAGGCAGGCCAGGTCTCTGCTCATGTGGTATTTATACTTCCTCATAACCTTAACTGTTCACGTAATACATGTAAGATTATTAAATTTGGGTTACGTGGAATCCTGGAGGAAGTTATTTGAGATTAAAAGATAGTTTATTGATCAGATTGCAAAGGTTTTTTTCCCTCTATTTACCTACATCCTCACACGATTTACAAGCTCCTTTGATAGAAATCAAGTAGGTATTTCGATCACTGTGTCAATAGCAAGCAGGAGAACATAACATAGTAGAGGAAGGACAGACAGGATACACCCTGCCCAGGGTTTGGTTTGGATAGAAAAGCTGGCTGGCTGACAAACCTTCTGTCCCTGCAGGTTAGTAAATAAGCATAGGTTGAACCTGCCTGGATATCAGCACTCTGCTACATACACACACACACACACACACATACACACACACGCACGCACACACACACACACACCCCTAAGGAAAAAAGGGTAGAAGTACCAGGCAGAAAACCACTTTAGAACTACCACCTAATAAACGTAGATGGAACTGGAGGGTGTTATGTTGAGTGAAATAAGTCAATCAGAGAAAGACATGTATCATATGACCTCGCTGATATGAGGAATTCTTAATCTCAGGAAACAAACTGAGGGTTGCTGGAGTGGTGGGGGGTGGG